ATTGAGACTGGAAAAGATGAGATAGGGACACAGGGTAATAGTTGTGGGAAGGGTTAACTTTTTAGTTTAGTCACCTGAGGAGGCTTTACAGGTAAATTTGAGGAAACACCTGATAGGTAGAAGGCAGGATGCTTCAGCCTAAGAGGCAAAGGGCAAAGACCCTGAGACAAAGACAAACTTAGGCAGGACCTATCAAGGTCTTACTTTGAAGAGCATGAGGTTGTCCAGTCTGGAGAGACTTGAGTGAGGAAGAAACTGATAGCAATGTGTCTACACACCTCTTTTGGTAGGAAAATGAGATGGATCATTCAATGTTCTGGAATCTCTTTTTTTCCCTTGTGGCTCTGTGTTGGTGTGTGTCTGTGTGTAACCCAGGCTGGTCTCAAACTTGCTATTCTGCTTCTTTTCCATAGTGACTGACTGACTCACTGACTATCTGACTGACTGCCTGTCTGCCTGTCTTTGTGTCTGTGTAACCCAGGCTGGCTTCAAATTTGCTATTCTCCTGCTTCAGCCTCCCAAGTGCTGAGCTCCATGGAAAAGCCAAATTGGATTCTATAGACTTGAGCCTATGTCCGTCCTTCCCTCCCTTAAATTTGGAAAACTCAGTGTTCATATATGTAGGGAATTCTAGTGAATTATTTTAAAAGTAAGGTTTTTCAAAGATGTAATTGGTGTTAGGTTGCCTAGAAATACTTTTCAAAAGGCATGGTCTTTAAAGACCCAGCTTCTTGACTGACTGAAGTAGGAGCACTGCAAGCTCAGACTGGTAATTTGTGAGACACCAAAATTCAAAAAAGCTAGGAATAAATCTCACTGGTAGACCACTTGCCTAGCTAGCATGCCTGATGACAAGGTGCAGTCCTCAGTACAGCTAAAACAAAAGAAAACAACAAAAAAAGAATTGGAAGTTTTAGAATATTTGCAAGTGTAGGGAAATGAGGACTTGCACCCTTGGACACTAGTAATTAAGGAATATAATCAAATGAATCAATGTATTAACTCAACTTATTCATAATTGATTAGTAAAGAATGTCTTGTAATTCTGTATAGCCCTTCCTGTTTTTAACTGGCTCAGGGACCCTCTCCCATAATACCTGTGGGTATTCCTGACATGATTTTGCTGTGTTTTCTGTTTTTCCCTTTTTCAGACTGGTTCTCAAATTGATATGCTTAATAGACTGGGGAAATTTTTTTTCCTGAGGGCTTTTGAGCTTATTTTTATAAATGGCTGACTTAATAATCTTTCATTTTCACTTACCTGATAAATTTAGTATTTTGACTTTTGAAGCTTTTTTTGGCTGATGAATTGCCTGTATGAAAATTAATGTATGAAGATACAGGGATTGCAAGGTCAGAGTATGAATGGAGCTGTGCAGCTAAGGAGGACACAGTGATGCAAGCTATGAGATGCTGTTTTAACTGACTACATCTACATTGTGTTCCCTTGCTGAATTTTTGAAATGACGTTTCCAAACTATGATCTCTCTGATGTCATATCAGTTTATTTGATATCATGACTCTGCATTTTAATACTCTGTACATGTATTTTCTTTTGGTTGACCTTCACAAGGGAAGATAAGTTGGGAGTAACTGTTATCTGGGAAGACATTTTTAGGTGGAAACATACATTTTATTCCTGACTTTTCTGAAAGAGCTATGGTTTGTGCCATTTAAAAAACAGTTTTTTGTTTTTCAGTTCTTCATTAGTCTCTGCTTACTAAATTTAATATACTTTCTGTTTTGTTCTATAGTTGGACCAGTCTCATAGGTTGAATCTTCAATTTATGTTGGTGTTAATCTACATAAATTAGAGGCAAGTTAAATGTCCCATTTACCTTCAGTAGTTTGAATTTTCTTAATGTTGCTTGTTCATTCTTGTGCAAATTGGAACTTTTTTTAAAAAAATTTCCCCTTGACCCTCATTAGCATTTAAAAAATTACTGTCTCTGTGTGTGTGTGTGTGTGTGTGTGTGTGTGTGTGTGTGTGTGTGTATGTATGTATGTGTGTGTGTGCATGCCATTGAGTACCTGTGGAGGTCAGTGGACAACTTGCGGAAGTTGTTTTTCTCCTATCACTATGAGGGTTGCAGGAATTAAACTTAGGTTATTCGGCTTGGCAGCAAGTGTCTTTACTCCCTGAGCCATCTTGGTGGCCCCCTTGTTAGTGTTTTCTAGTGATGTTATAGAGTTGACATTGACTTTTGATGCCCTGAAGCACTTTGTCTCTAAAATATAAATAAATTTTTTATGTTGTAAGGTTACTTTCTTTTGTTTAAAAAAAATATTTGTGAGTTTTATCTGTGGAGGTCAGAAGACCACTTTGTGGTATTAGCTCTTCCCATCCAACATACAGGCCAATGGAATTGGAACTGAGGTCATCAGGCTTCAGGGCAAGTGTCCATACATACTGAACTGTTTCATAGTCTTCCCTGTGCTCCTTTCCTTGTCCCCCTCAAGCAGAAGGCCATGTAGACCAAGTCAGCCTTGAACTTGTAGCTGAGGGTGACCTTGAATCTCTTGATCCTCCTGCCTCCACCAGAGTTATAGGGTTACTAGCCTGTGCTCTCAGCATGGAGTGCTGGAAATCAAACTCAGAGCCTCATGCATGCCAGGGAAGTACTCTTCATTGAATTAGATTTCCTTCCTTCCTTCCTTCTTCCTTTCTTCCTTCCTTCCGCCCCAGAACTTAATATTCCTGGCTAGATTATTATTTTTAATTTTATCCTGTTCTCATATGAATGAGAAATACATTGATTTCATAGGAATATAAAATGATACCATTGTTGACTTGCCTTTAATTTTGTGTGAGGTCAGAAGGAAAGAAATGTGAAACGAAAAGAATATTCCTTTAGGTCACCAAACTTAATTTTATAAGAATTATTCCAATCAGCCATTCAAGGTCATCCTGTACTACATAGTTGAAGGCCAGCCTGGGCTACATGAAAGACTGTCTCGTCAAACAAGAAAACAAAACTTTCAAAGTTACCGCTCCATAGTAAGAACACAACTACCGTTTTTTGCTAAAATGTTTTTTTAACTTAAGCTTAGGAGATAATGTTGGAGTTTATGTTTTTGAGTTAAGTCTGTAGTAAAGTTTGTTGAGTAATCTATTTCTATTCCCTATTCCTTCCCCCTTTAAAAAATACAGAGTTTATGGGGATGAAGTATGGCTCAACAGCTAAGAGCACTTTATGAGGACTGGGGTCAGCCAGTACCCAAATGCAGCAGCTCACAGCTGCCAGCTCCAGGGAGCTTAGGCACTCTTTCTGGCCTCCTCAGGTACCTCTTACCACCACCACACACACTTTGTAAATACTAAATAGATAAATAAAATAGAATAAATAAGAATCTTAAATATAGATTTCTAAGGCTATCGTTGGGTGAACTTTAGACATTGTAACATGTCTTACTTTTTGCAGAATTAAAAGTGGAGTGGGTTTTCTCAAAGTTAATAAACTTGTCAACTTACTTTAAAAAAGTTACTATATTTTAATTTTAGGTGTAGGGTTGGTTTGATTGCATGTATTTCTATGTACCATGTACATGCCTGGTGCCTGCAGAGGCCAGTAGAGGATATTGGAGATGGTTGTAAGTTGACATGTGGATGCTGGGAATTCAACCTGGGTCCTCTGGAAAAGCAGCCAGTGCTCTTAAGCACTGGGCCATCTCTCTCCCCCTTTGAGGCAAACTGTGGGACAGGCAAACCTCAGTGCTATGACCCTCTTGTCTCTGCCTCCTAAGTGTTGGGATTGCAGGTATGTAACACCATGCCTGATCTTTTTTTTAGCAGCATTCTCCTCATCATTTGATTTTAGCTAAGAAACTGCTCAAACTTGTGCTTTAGAACACTTTTTATAACTACGGAGCCACTTTTGGGTTTTAAGGTTCTGTCCCAACACAGCATTAAAAGCAGGCTACAGGTCAGGCCACAGTGATAGATGTTTTTAACACTGGCACTTGGGAGGCAGAGTAGGTGGGTTTCTATAAATTTTCTAGGACTACACAGTTGAGACTCTGTCTCAAAAACAAGCAGATTGGGGTTTAGCAGTTGAAGACACACTGAAGGCTTTACTTGTTGGACGTTTGATGAAAGTCCGGTCTCCAGGGCTTGGATTCTTTGCACAGGAATCACATCACAGTTGTGCTGCTGCTGCTTTTTTCCTTCGCTTCCATAAGATGTGCTATATAGGTCAGTACTACTGATTGTAAAGCAGTTTGAGTGGAAACCCCAAGTTAGCCACTTCCCTTGAGTCCCCAACTGGTCTTTGTCTCTGAAACTACTTAGGACTTTTGTACTTAGGAGATTGTACTTTTCCATCACTTGTAGAACTCGTGAAGTTCTCAGATGTGATGGAGTCTGGTTTGTTATTGACTTTGTTGTTGTTTTCTGAGTCAGTCTTGTTTTACTGTCCAGGTCTTGAATCCTCGTGCTCAAGTAATGCTCTTTCCCTCAGCCTCCTGAGTACTCCAGGCATGTGCTACGTACTGGGCAGGGAGTCTGATTTACCAGATGTTCTTAGTATTTTAATCAGGGTTGGAATCTATTTCCTGTAAAATATATGCATGAGAAAAACTTGCTTTTTTAAAGTTTAGTGAGATTGCTAGGTTTTTGACCTAAATACTTTTTATTATTTACAGTGTTAAAAAGACCTGAAAACGTTTGCTGAAACCTCCTGTAGTGAGAGATAGCAGAGCTTTTGACCAGGTAAGTTTGAAGAGAAGCACTAAGTTGAAGATTTATGCCAGTATTCCCCTATCCCCCAGGGCCTTGTGTATACTAGGTAAGCATTCTACCACTGGCCTTTATTTATAGCTCCCAAGCAGAGTTGACTTTTGCTTTTTAGGTTTCAGGTTTTTTTTTTTTTTTCCATTATTTCTTTTGAGGTTATAGATAGTGAGAAGAAACTTTATGAGCCAGAAACATAACTTTCTGGACTCTTCATAGTGTGAGTTTATGTTTTAAACTGTTGTAATGTTTTTTTTTTTTTGATGACAAGCAGCAGGAAGAGCAATGTTTTGAGGGCACATGTGCTGAGAGGCCAAGGTATTTTCAAAGAACCCAAGAGTTGTTGCCTCATGAGGGACTTGAACCAGAAATTGGGAAGCATTTGGGAGTAGAGTGTACTTTTCTCCCAGCTGGTTGTAAGTACCCTGTTTTTATTTGTTCTCTTAGTTGTGCTTCTCTAGTCAGGCCTTTGATACTTCAGCAGATAAGTAGAAGAAAATGACTGCTTCATTCCTGGGGTCACAGAGTTCTAGTACTATAAGCACAGTGATAACTAGCTCAAGGTCTTAGCTCCTATGAAGGAAATACAATGGATCCCATTCAATTTTGTTTTCATTTAGTTGTGGCAAGGGTTGGGCTCTAAAAGAACAAATATAGTGAGCTGAAAGTACTTTATTTGCCTTTGAGACTAGTGGTAGATTTTGCCAGGTGGTGGTACCAAGTGGCGGCGGCAATGGTGTACGCCTTTAATCCTCGGGAGGCAGAGGCAGGAGGGGTTCTGTGAGTTCCAGGCCAGCCTGCTCTATAGAGCTAGTTCCAGGATGGCTAGGGCTGTTACACAGAGAAACCCTGTCTGGAAAAAAGACTACTGGTAGATCTCTCTCTCTCTCTCTCTCTCTCTCTCTCTCTCTCTCTTTTTTTTTTTTTTTGAGATAGTGCGTCTTTGTGTATGTCTGCCTGTCCTAGAACCTGCTCTATAGACCAGGCTGACCTGAACTCACTGAGAACTCCCTACCTCTGCCTCCCAAGTGCTGGAATTAAAGGCCTGTGCTACCAGGTAGATCTCAGAGAATGTATAATGGTAGCTCTTCTAGGGTAGACTCCAGTGGAAACTTTTAGACATTTTTCTGTTCTAGCATTATAGAACAAATTTTGCATTTTAGTTTTTAACTTCGATGTTTTGAAGATGTAACTTATTGCATCTATTTTGGAGAATGAGGCCCAGTAATTCTCACCATGCCATAGTATTGGAACCTTCTAGTTCATTAAAATGTTTTTAGTTAAAAAATTACATTTTGTATGTTGTATATGTATGTGAGTATGTGTGTGGGAGTGAATGCCATGGTACTTGTGGAGGTTAGAGGAAAAATTTCATTATTGTTTCTTTCTGTTGACCATACTATCATACTGTGTCTAGGGATCATTGAACCCAAGTCCTCAGGCTTGGCAACAAAATACCTTTTCTGGCCGAGCTATCTTGCTAGCACCAATTGAGTCTTTTAATAAAAGTTCTAGATTTGAGCGTGGGGAAGCTCAGGATAAAGGTTTAAACAGGTAACTTTGGTTTGTGGAAAAATTCATCATTGGTTGTTTTTTATAAATTTTAATTGTTGATACTTTTCATAGTATTAAGCAACTCAATAGGATCTGAGGGTTCAGAATTTATGCATGATCCTCATGTTATTAACAGAGGATCGTGTAGTACCAGGCCAATCAGGATTATGTAGCGAGACCCTTATCTACCAAAAACAAAGAAAAGAAATAAGAATAGAGAGTAGTAATAGAGACTTGGCTGTTGGGGAAGATGAGTAACATAGTATAAACTTTGGAAATTATGTGTTTCTGTACTTTGGAATTATTAGGAAATTCAGAAGTAAATTTGTTGTTTTTAGTGTGGTGTTAGGAATCTAATCCAGGGCATAGGGTATGCCTCTGAGCACATAATTTATTACTGAGTTACATCCTTTGCTCCTTAAGTACATTCTGTATGTGTTTGTGTCTGTGTGAGACAGGGTCTCACAGTATAACCAGGCTAGCTTTGAATTTACAACCCCCCTTTCTCTGCCTCTACTACCATACTTGGTTTTAAACTTCATTTGGGGGTAGAGTCTCATGTAGCTGAGGCTGGCCTCAAATTTGCTATGTAGCTGAGACTTGTAGTGAGATAGTCCTTCTGTGGCACTGACCACGCCCATTGGGGGGTGGAGCCATGGGCGGAAGTGACCTGTGGAAGGAAGTCAGGGAGAGCCAGGAAAAGCTCTCTTGCTGGCGTGACTCAGACAGGTGAGGATCGGGTTGAATTTCCTGGTGTTCATCTGTCTAGGTTGTAAGTTATTTCTCCCTGAATAAACATCTATTCGGCCTATTTGTTTATCCTGATCCTTATTTAACCGCGATAGAGACTGGCTTTGAACTTCAGTCCTCCTGACTCTACCTCCCAAGTGCTGTTACAGTTGTGAGCCATTGGAAACTTTATAGCCTTTGATTCCCTGCATTGTTAGTTTTTGAAGACAGGCTCTAATGATATAGCCCTACTGGCCTTGAACTCACTAGGAGAATTGCATACTGTCCTGGGGCTCATGAGTGATCCTCTTGCCTTTGCTCACAAATGTTGAAATTAACAGGCATGTGCCACCACACCCAATTTATGGCAACTTAAATGTGTGTGGATGACATGTACTCTTATATTAAAATATATTTATAAGAGCACCTAAATTTTTGCTTGTATATATCTTGATGATTTATAACTACTTTTTGTTTGTTTGTTTTTTGAGAGGGTTTCTTTGTGTAGCTTTGGAGCCTATCCTTGAACTTGCTCTGTAGACCAGGGTGACCTTGAACTCACAGAGATCCGCCTGCCTCAGCCTTCAGAGTGCTAGATTAAAGGTGTGTGCTACCATGCCCAGCTACTTTTCTCAGTGGAATATTTTGAAGTGGTGCACACTTTGGAGGCAGAAGCAGTTCAGTCTCTGAGTTGGAGGCCAGCCTGCTCTACAGAGTGAGTTCCAGGACATCCAGGGCTACATAGTGAGATCCTGTCTCCAAAAAACAAACAAACAAACAAACAAACAAAATTATTATATTGGCACGTACACACACACACACAGATTAAAAAAAACCCCTTTTTTACATTTAGTGTGTGTATCACTGTGTGTGCGTGTATGCATGTAGGTAGAGGAGAGGACCACTTTTAGCAGTTGGTTCTCTTTTTCCATTATGTGGACTCAGGGTTTGAACTCGTGATTTTAAGTGTGGCAGCAGTCCATATATCTAGATTTTTTGATGTAAAGCCTAGGGATTACTAATAAAAGTGATACATCTATATAGCAATGGTTGACAGATCTGAAGTAGTGGTGTCTAATGGCAACTGACTACTTCTACTTTTTTTCCCTGACTGAAGATGTTTTGGTGTGTACATATGTGTTTATGTGCGTGTGGATGCCAGAGGCTGACATTGAGTAGCTTTCTCAATTGTTTTCTATTGTTGTTTTTTTTTTTTTTTTGAGATAGGATTTCACTGAACCTGGAGCTTACCAATTTGACTAGATTGGCATATTACAGGTGCATTCACTATCTGACTTTTTCTGTGGGTGCTGAAGATCTAGTTAGGTGTGCATGCGTAGCAAGTGCTTAACTGACATAGCCATCTCTCTAGTCCAAAGTCTTTTAGTTAACAATAGCTTCATTTATTTTTAAGGTAGAAGAATTGTCTCAAATAATGTTTTTTAACCTCTGGGTATTAAGTTAAGACATGCAGAGTTTTGTGAGTTTTCCAAAGACCTCCACTTTCTGGGTAAAGCTTTTGATAGTCCCTGGGTATCCCTGTTTGGAAAACATGGTCTGGAGGTAAATATTATCAAGGGACATGGCCATGTTGATGGACATCCCCCCCCCCCACATTTTTCTTAGGATGATTTTCTTTTCCTTTTTTTTTTGAGACAAGGTCTGGCTGTGTACCTTTGGCTAACTTAGAACTCACTTTGTAGACCAGGCTGACCTCGAACTCATAGAGGTCTATCTGCCTATGCCTTCCTCAGTTGGGCTTGAAGGCATGTGCCCTCACAACTAGCTCTAGAATGATAAATTTTTATCCTTTCATCAAAAGGAGTACAAAAAGAAATATTTAAGGCAGTAGGGGAAATGTTGGTAATATTAATGATACCTTTTATTAAAGTCATCTTTAATGGTTAGCTTGTTCTTTTGAGATTAAGTTTTTTTGTATTCAAGTTATTCTGGGCCTGGAGGAAGTCTTAGGATCTCTAGTCTCTTCAGCATTTGGTCTTTAGGTTGTAGAGATCAACAGTTAACTGACAATAGTATTGTCTTGGGACTTACTGATTGCTACATCATAGCATAGATGTGAAAGAGGTAGGTAAGTCCAAGGACTCTCGATATCATCTGATTGGCAGTTGTTGGATCATTGCTCAAACCAGGGCCATTGCGTAAGTGGATGCAAAGCTATCCTGTAAAAGCAGTGGTCAGGGAACCTTAATTTATGTTTTGGAAACTGACAACTTTTTGGAAGCCCTTTATGCTCCTGTATCTGAGTGTTAAGAACATGCTCTTCCCAGCTGGGCAGTGGTGTCGAATGCCTTTAATCCCAATACTTAGGAGGCAGAGGCAGGTGGATCTCAGTGAGTTTGAGGCCAGCCTGGTCTACACAGTAAGTTCCAGGACAGCTAGGACTATTACACAGAGAAACCCTGTCAAAGAACATGTTCTTCCTTAAAAGAGGGCCTACTATGGCAATGGAAAAGGGGTGGGAGTTAGTAATAGAACAATAATGAGAAATAGTGAGTAAAGGAGGAAAAAAATTACTCTAAAAATTGCAAGGAGATTGGAAGGTGTATTAGGTAGGGTTTTCTAAAGGAACAGAACTGACAGAATGAATATGTATTTAGAGGGAATTTGTTGATTGGCTCACAGAATGTGGTCCAGCAATGGCTGTCTCTGAAGCTGGGAATCTAATTGTCAGTGCACAAGGCTGGATGTCTCAGCAGTCCCAGTCTGGCCCTGGAGGCTGGAAGGATTCCTGGAGAACTGCTGATCTTCAATCTGCATTGGAACCCTGAAGAAGTCGATTCTGATGTCTGAAGGGATGCTGCCCCTGCAGGATAGATGAACTTGCCAGCGAGAGTGTGGGCAAGCAGGCAGAAAGCAGAGTTCCCTTCTTCCATGTTCTTTATGTGGACTGTCACCAGAAGACACCACACATTTAGGGTGGGTCTTCCTGCTTCAAATAATCAAGAAAATCCCTCATAGGGATTCTTAGACAAGTTAACCAGTTGGAACCTTATTTTCCTAACTATAAAGTATATTCCATGGAAGTTGTGAGGACTAATCTAAAATGTAAGCAGTTCCTGACATGAAGTAGTCATTCAATGAATGATAGGTTTTATGATCTTTTATGATTGTT